GCTTATTCTGTACCAGTCGCCACGCCAACAACCCTGCCAGCAGAAGAGGCTACACGTGGAGTGCCGGCATTTCCGCTCTCTCGTGGGAAGGGGTGTCACTCTTCACCTGATGACGAAGGATTCATCCGCGCATCAGGCAAGCACACATTCAGCGCAAGAGTCCTGGCATTCGACCCCCAAGTCGCATGGGCAAATGAGGCATCTGCAAAAGAGATGCACCGCCTTGCCCAACGTGTGAGGAGTCGGCGAGGAAGCCAATAACCGGTAAACTTCTGCTTGTAATCTCGATTCTATGCTAGTCCTCGTCATGATTGTTCTTTTTCTTACTAATTACTACTTTTCACTGCTATATCGTCTTTAAATCCACACGCTCAGGTATTCTCTCCACGAGCTGCCACCATCAGTTTTCCGGTGAGCACCCAGGATACCCGAACGCTTAAACTAGGTTTTTTGAATGTCTGTAGCTTGCGCTACAAAGTAGATGAAGTAACGGCACTCCTCCGGGTGCAGGACTTTGATATTTTTGCATTGGCCGAAACCTGGCTGGATAGCACTATTGGTGACGGAGAAGTAGCTCTTCCTGGATACAGCCTCACAAGGACCGATCGCAGCGGCAGGCGAGGTGGCGGCACGTGTATCTATTACAAATCCACCCTGCCAATCAAACCACGCCCAGATCTAAGCGTAAGCGGCTTAGAGCTGGTGTGGGTTGACGTACAGATACATCGACAGCATCACCGTGTCGGCTGCGCCTACAGGCCCCCTGACACATCCGTGGAGTTTTGGACTGATTTAGAAAGTGCCATGCATAGTGCTGGCTCTTCAGCCACGTCTTTAACGGTGTTGGGGGATTTCAATGTGGACTTGTCCGCTAATCACCCCAATCATCAGCGAACCCATCTACAGAGCCTGTGCTGCACGTTCGACTTAACCAACTGCGTGGATGCAGTGACGCGCATCACTCCAAGTACGCCGAAAGGCACCCTTATTGACCTTGTCCTCACGGACAGGAAGATGGTATCCAGCTGCAGGGTGATACCTTGTCTGATCAGTGATCACAGCGCTGTGCTCGCCAACCTGAACATTTCAGTTCCTCGTGCAGAGACTCAATCGAAGCAGGCCAGGCGGATTCGGAATATAAGTATCCCTGAGTTCAGAATCGCTCTGGAGCAAGAACTTCAGCATTTCCCTTCCCTTCCACAGTCGTCAAGCGTGGATGATACGTGGCATGATTGGCACTCGCGCTTTATGACTGTCCTGGACAGGTATGCTCCAATGAAGACTGTACCACCGCGCCGCAAGCCTCTACCTCCATGGTCCGACCGTGAGACGTATCAACTCATCAGGACACGGAATAGGCTGCACACGCGCTGGCTCCGGAACCCCGAAGATATGGCACTTCACAGTGCATTCAAACTGGCTCGGACGCAGGCATCTAACGCGATTCGGCGCAAACGAAACTCGTATTTTCATCAGACATGTCAATCTGCATCTGCAAACCCTCGTAAGCTCTGGCAGCTCATCAACAGCCTTACAGGCCGTACCCGAGCACAACCGGATCCTACATGCGACGTTGAAGAGGTCGGCAATACGTTCCATCAAGTTGTGACCGACGCCAATAGACCTCCCATATTGGCAGAACCTCAGGGGCCATTGAGAGGGGAAGTCCTTTCGGATTTTCGAGGGACTGATGCAGGTTCCGTTTACGAACTGCTCCGTAAAGTCGACGCCAGAAAAGCAACCGGTAGTGACGGGGTCCCAGGATCGTTGCTGCTCGCCACTGCCGACATCATCGCACCAAGCCTCACCCAACTTTTCAACATGTCCCTGAAATCGGGTATCGTTCCTCGGGCCTTCAAGCTAGCAGAGGTTCGCCCCCTCTTCAAATCGGGAGATCCTGCTTCCCCTGGGAATTATAGACCAGTATCTCTACTACCCATTATTTCGAAAATCCTCGAGCGGATTGTACAAAACCAGTTACAAGGTCAGCTTTCCCGTGTTCATGCGCTGCCTGACACGCAGTTTGCGTACCGGCATGGCTACTCAACAGAAGATGCATTGGTTGTCCTGACGGACACGCTCCTGGAGGCCCGCGATCGACGCCAGGTATCGGGAGTGTGCTTTCTCGATCTCTCCAAGGCATTTGACAAAGTCATTCATGAGCGTCTCATTCAGGACCTGTTTGCTTTAGGAGTGACAGGCAGACCCCTTCGCTGGCTCATCAGCTACCTCAGTGAGCGGACACAGCGAGTTTGTTTCGGGGCCAGCAGCAGCACAATCACCTCTTGCAGCTGCGGTGTGCCCCAGGGATCGGTGCTCGGCCCGTTGCTCTTTAACGTGTACACAAGAGATGTTCCTCAAGTAGCCCAATCCGCAGCCACGATCCAGTTCGCCGATGACGTCGCAGTATATTGTAGCGCTGACACGACTCAGGCTGTTGCCAGTACGCTCTCCACCGCAGTCTCCTCCTTGGCTGCATGGCTGGAAGAGCGAGGACTGATTCTGAATGAGAAGAAGAGTCAAGTTCTCACAGTCTTTCCTGGTAGAGACGCTGGACCCCGGGTCACAGTCCTCTGTCGCAGCCAAGCTCTGCCGACAGTCACCAGCGCGAAGTACCTTGGCGTCATCATTGACGAGGGGCTGAACTTTCAGCAACACCTGAAAGCCATTACAGCAAAGGTGTCCCGCAAAGTAGGTGCCCTCTGGCGGACTCGGAGATGCTTGAGCCTGGCGGCCCGAGTCACCTACTTGAAGTCCGTGGTGATGCCGGATCTGACCTACGCATCAAGTTGTTTCTTGTTCTGTCTAACTGCCCAGCAAGCAACGGATCTCCAGACGCTGGAGAACAAAGCGGTTCGCGCAGTTTTTGGCGCTCGGCCATACGACTCTGCTCAACCTCTGCTCCAACGGGTGGAACTCTACCGAATCTCAGAGTTGCACAAGCAAAAGGCGCTATTGCTCACCTGGCGATGCATCCACGGCATTGCGGGGAACCGGCTCTGTGGACTGATTTCAAGGTCACCAGATCGGCGTACCCGCTTGCAGAAGGACATCGGAGCTCACATACCACCCGCCGCAAGCCGCGCTGGTCAGGCTAGGTTCTCTGTTGCCGCTCCCAAGCTGTGGAACGCACTACCCAGCGACATCCGCACCATCCCCCAACGCAGTGTGTTCAAGATGTCAGTCATCCCACATACGCTCGCTCCATGAAACGTATCACCCATTATTCCAGTCACTGTTGCTGTCGCATCCACTCGTATGTCGCATCCACTCGTAGTCCACGTCCACTGATGCCGACCGAGGTAGCTCTCTTGCTACTGTGTAATAGTGACATGTACCCAGCTAATGTCTCTGCTTCGTTCAGGGAATTCAGAATAGGAAGTCTGCTGTACCACCCGCTCTTTTCTTTTTACTTTTAAAAGCGATTATTTGTAACATGGAAATTTGTTCCTTGGCTCACCATCTGAGTTCTTTAAGCTATCATTCATTTTCTGCTGACCCCGGTTATTTCTTTTATTAGTATTATTTTCTTTGCCTTCGCTTTCTTGTTATTGGGCAACTTGCCCGTTAGAATCTGCGAAGTAAAATAAACAACAACAACAACAACAACAACAACTGTCTGTAGTGCGGTGCGATATACGAGTCGTACACCAAAAATCATGCATGACAAAACAGAACGTGTGCTGCGCTGACTGTGTTCAACTGCCTGACAGGAGTTTGCAAGACAGCTTTCCTCCATCCTCGGACAACACTCGACCCGAGCCTTATTTTGTGACTTGTCAGCCGTTGATTTGCCCAGAAACTTCCCATTCTGGTGTCGATCTCATAAGTAAACTACTGACGAGCTTGAAGAACTAAACAACATCGAAAGACCCGAATATCGCGGTTGCTTTTCGAAATATCGTGGTGCTTTTCAAGTATCAACGGACAGTTTTCTACAATAACGTGGATGGTTTTCAAATATCGCGGATATCGTGGACTTTTGTTCAAATCGCGGAAAACAACGCGGCCGCGGAATCGCAAGTTCCTGGGGGGGGGGGGGGGGAGGGGGGACAGATAATGTAATTAGTAATTACGTTAGTAAAAAAATGTAGTTGATCTACGGAAAGTCTTCCGTAGACTGCATGCAGATCCGTGTTTGGCCAGAAGGAGTTTTCAAATCACATACCTACCCTTGGCAACACCAAACGCGACAGTGTATGACCCAGGGAGAGAGAGTCATCAATTTGTACCCCAAGCCGCTTATGGAGCCCTACTTACCTACTCTACCTAGACAACTTTCCGTCAGTGGAGTGCAAACTCGCGAATTCATGGGTTTTCCTGCCCACTCGCGTAAAGTTGCTCAACTTTACGTAGTGCAGAACCGCTCTGTAGTTTTGTAGTTTTGCTATTTTTCTTTGCTTTCTATTCCTTTGTCATTTTGTTGTGAGTCTGCACGCTTCAACTCAAACTCGCAAGGTTGATCACTTATCCCTTGCACTTTTAGGACATGTGCCCAGTCCTGAAGTTACTGCTAATTGGTTTTGTTTTATTGTTTTGCATTCACTTGCAGTAGTCTGTAGATTCATGTGGGTGTTCTGATCGCTGTTTGAAAGCGTTAGAATCGGTGTATATTCACACTCAGCAGCTGAACCTTGCAGGCAGAAGCAGAACATTACACCGCTGTGCTTGGTTATAGACACACCTTGCTTTTTTTAAATATTTTATTCAAGTCACACCTTGCTGCTCTTCGTAGCGTGTGAATCTATAGTACACTGCTTGTTTTCCCTTGGTGACGTGCTACGCTTCTCACCATTTCGCCGCCTCCCGCCTTGCTGCTGTAGTAGCTATATCTTCTGCTACCGTGAACTGCTTCATTCTCTTTGCAGTATGTTCATTTCATAAATTTCATAGTTTTTTTCCAAGTCTACAAATGGAAGAATAAAAATCCTACGAAAGAGATCCGTTTGTCAGGACCTTTTGCAGGAACCCTTCCAATATAAAGTACACATGGATGAGAGTTTCATGGGTATAGTATGGAAAACCGGTCTAAGGTGACCAAGGCCCCCTGGAATTTGAGTCGGCCTGTTAACGTCATTGTACCCCGTCTTTCCGTGTTTCCTATCCAGAACCACGGCCGTCTTCGCATGCAGCCAGAGAAGATCACATTCAAGGCCAGCCGAAGTGGCAAGATTGAACAGTTCAGCCCAGATGGGCTTAAGTCAGTCAACTGGACGCGTGCGCCGAAGGGCTGGGAGCTGTCACTAGTCGCCAAGTCGGGCTCCTGCACTCGGCTACAGGGCTTCAAAGAGACCGTACGTGGCGCGCTGTCCCGTGTGTGCGTGTGTGTGTGCGCGCGCGCGCGCGCGTGTGTGTGCATGTGTGTATGCGTGCGTGTGTGCGTGCGTGTGTGTATGTGTGTGTGTGTGTGCGCGCGCACATGTGCATGTGCATGTGCGTGCGTGTGTGCATTTGCATGCACACACGGCCAGCAGTTAACTTCTCCGCTTTGTGGCATGACGGTTATGGCAACACACTCTCATGTGTAAATTTTCGTACATTGATTGTGCCACGCAGGCAAATACAGTGATGCCAAATCATTTTCACTCAAAATCGGACACCCTTCACCGTCAAGGCTGGCCAGTGGCCACATGGTGCGAATTTTTCCCCGCAGCAATTTTTTTACAGAGAATTCAAAATATCGCCTAAAACACCATGAAAATTCGCTTCGTTGCCATGGTAACCCCGGAGTTGTCATGAATTTTGTAATGATGAGTGTGGTCGCACACTGACTCTGTACAGACTGTCAGTGTACATGCCATCAAGCCTGATCCAGGCATGTTACTTTGCACTTCCACAGCCAAGCGCTAGCCTTTTTAGAAGCAAATGTACAGTGGTTTGTGCCTTCAGTTGTGCTGAAAAGTGAAAGTACAGGACTTCTGCATATGAAAGTAATGATCTCCGACATTTTGGCTGTTTTTTGGACGTTTCCCTTTCGGACCGGTTTTCGGAAGAGCCTTCGAAAATCGGACACTGTCCGAAAAATCGGACGGTTTGGCAGCACTGCAAATAGAAACACAGGAGAGGCGCATAAAGTCCGATCTTGCCAATATTATAGCAACTCCGGGGAATAAGTAACCCTAGCATTATAAGCACTGGCCTGTGCAATGAATGCAATTCTGGTTTATTCATGAGATTGGATTTCACTTGATTCCACTGTATGATAGACTATAGTAGACCGTGTCGGTGTCGGGGATTTGGGCTTTGCTCTTGTTTGCACACACTACGGGTTTCTGTTTCTTATTCTTGTTTTCTGGAGACTGACTTGATATGCGTGCGTGTGTGTGTGTGTTTCTGTATGTGTGTGTCTGTGTTTGCATCTGTGCCCGTGTGTCTTCTGTGCATGCGGTGTTCTTTGTTTTTTGTTTTTTTCATTCTGTATTTCTTTCCCAGGAAAGCCAGCGGTTACAAGGCAAGATTAGCAAATGGTACAAGCTGCCGTGGAGCGTAGTGGAGCGGTCTGTTCGCGGCCTTAGCTATGGGAAAACCGACTTTTGCGGTACGGCATCGCGCCAGCGTGGCTTGATCATGCTTTTTCTCCGTGTTGCTATGTGTGTTTGCACTCTGCAGTCTCTTCACAGAATCTCGATATTTGATTGTTTCCTGCACTACAGCGTAGTGTATGGCGCTAAAATTGCTGATATTTGAACAATGCATATGATGACAGAATGTAGAGCCATTGAGTGATGAGTAATCCCATCTTCTCTTACTCAGCATGGATGCATTCCATTGCTTGTCCAGCTTGGCAGCTCGGTTGTTCCGTAGGGTTGTGCGTGTACTGCGTTGTGGGAGGCATGGGCAATGCCACAGGGTCACATACCAGACTATAGTGCGCCATCATAGTACTACTGTATGTTAGGTGATGATAGGTGTGTAGGTCAGTTTTTCCATAGTGACGTGCATGATGTCATTGCCTGTTTGCTTGGGGCCCTGCTTGCATGTACCTGCAGGCTCATCGTTGAAGTTTGTCATCGACGACAAGCCATCGTTTGAGTTGCCCCTGGAGAGTGTGTGCCAGACGTCCATCACCAAGAACGAGGTACACTTGGAGTTCCATCCGAACGACGAAGCGGACGTTCAGCTCTCTGAAATGAGATTCTACGTGCCACCGTCTCTCACGTCCGCTGTCGGTGATGGCATCGCCGACGACAAAGACGCAGCCAAGGTACAATACCATTGCATGCTAAGTTGGGGGTATATCATGTGACTACAAGACAGTTTACATGATCTGAGTGTTGCCAGGCAACAGCCAATGGGGAGAAGGGGGGGGGGGGGGGCTGGGTGCCAGGTCAGCAATGTGGTGTGCAAAACGCTAGGACTTCTGGGCTCACATTATCGAGGCATTCAGATAGCCTGGATTGGAGTTTTTTGTGCGCGTGTCCATTCGATCCTGGGGTGCCACGCCATCCAGAGGAGAGTTTGAAAGGCCCAGGATGTGAGGGTCTTGACTCAGTGGTGGGGTGACGTCCATGCTTTCTCTGCTGCTAAGGTGTGCATTGTTACCCTCCCACCCAGACTGTAGAACTGGTACTGTATTCTTAATTCGCTAACTACAGTGGCGAGTACCGCAGTGCACACTGACATGGTGCATCGAGTTGCGGATTCGTTAAACTAGTGAAACCTTGCTCAGATGGCAGGGAGGTTCTGCGTTTTGAATTTCGGAATATTTTTCGGCAGTTCTGGCTTCGAGAGTCGGCGGAGCAGTAGAACTTTCGGGAAAATAATTGAACGGAAAGAAGCAGTCGAGTCGGAAAATATTTGGAAATTCTAAATGCAGAACCTCTGTACTGTGTTGGCTGTGCGTACGGACCCCAAGCATGCGGCGTATAATCGTGTTTTCCCGCCGTCAGCCCAAAGACGGCTACTACCTGCTTGTTCATATGTTAAACTAGCCGTCTTCCCCCTTGCATTGCCGGTTGTATTGTTTTGGAAGTAGCCCTGGTAATAGCTATCATGCTGACACTATTTCCCTCTACAGTAGTGCAATTCCTGCTTCGTTTGCCATATCCGTTGCTTATTTTGTGGCTCAGGAATTCCACACCAAAATCACGTCGCATGCCGACATTCTTCGTGTGTCTGGCGATGCGCTCATTACGTTTGACGGAATGTCATGCCTGGTGCCTCGGTAAGCCACTGCTTGGCGTTTTCAGTGCGGTGTGTGTGTGTGTGTGTGTGTGTGTGTGTGTGCATGCGCGCGCGCGCGTGTGTGTATATGCGTGTGTATGCGTGTATGCACATTTTTTGTTTTTCTTCGGGTTTTGGCGGTATCTACATTCATGTATTATGTTTGTTTATAATTGTATTTGTTGACACTAGATGTACTAGTAGTTACCGGTTTCTCTGATAAAGCCCGGTCTATAGTAGTGACCCGGCAAGGGTTTTTGAGAAGTAATAAGAGTACAATCTCTAGTAGTATCGTGGGTCACATTTGCCGGACTATTCAGCAGTACATTAACTGAATGTAAAATAGGAGTACTTGAGTACATTGTGTCATGCACGTTATTGATCTACATGTATTTCCTTTCTGGTGGCTATGTTATTGTGAAACATTAGTCTTGACAATATCTCTTTGAGTTTACTTCAAGGTAGGTTTTAGAAAATTCTTCATATGGTCAGTTCCTCTCTCTCTCTCTCTCTTTGTACGTTTAGATACGGAAGTTGGCTGATAGTGGAGCATTGAAAGATAAACGCATAGTCCCTAATTCTAGCGCAGGTGGTCCTTGAACTAATAAGTAGCCCGGGCTTTCATTAGAGAAAGTATGGTGTGCAAAGTTTGGGTTATTGGCAGCCCTTGTGAATCTGTTGTCGTGTGCAATCTACAAAGTCCTTCTCTTTATTTAGTTGCTCAGTTGTTGTTGTGCTTTGCATTGCCTTTTCCCACGTTTCCCTCTGCCATTGCCGATATAGTGGACGCTACACAGTGAAAGTATACCCAGGGTTTCTCTTCCTGCATGGCAAGTCGTACGACTTCACCGTTCCCTTTCAGTCCATCGTGCGACTCTTCCTCTTGCCTCACAACGACATGCGACAAATGTACTTTGTGGTGAGTTTCTGCAGATGCCTGCCTGCCTGCTGTTTAAGCATCTTGTCTTGTGTGAGGATCATGTATTCTAGTAATATAGGGTTGAGTAATTATCGGAGCAGCAAAGGAGGGAAAGGCTGTTGTGTCTTCGAGTTCACACTGTATCATGGGCGATCGACCAACAGGAAAGTGACACTTGCTCCAGGTAGTACTGCAGCGTTTGCACTAAGGCATGACTGTGATTCGTATTTGTCTCGGTCGTTCTCTAATATCTCCTCCTCCCACTGTTGTGTGTGTGTGCATGCGTGTTTCTTGCCTAGGTGGCTATGGACCCTCCCATGAGGCAGGGCCAGACGCGCTACCCTTTTCTGATTCTCATCCTCAACAAGGAAGAGTCGATGGAAGCAGAGGTGGCATTGTCAGAGTGAGTCTGCCGCTGTGCCTGTTCTTATCATGCGTGCAATGTGGCATTGCTTTTGTTGTGTACCGTCAATTGCTGTTAGTACCGCCATACTTCTGTTTCACACAGAGGTCATGTTTAATGACAACATTGTAGATACGTTGTATTTAGTGGCAAACCAGTGCACGTGGTGCCTCTCCATACAGCAACCAAAGAATTCCGCGGACAGGCCCATGGGCTTATCTGATTCAAAAGGGGCATCAGATGAGTGTAGATGTGGCCATGAGCTTATACGCCAATCACGATGCACGGCAACAAGATGCACGGCAACAAGCACACAGAGCATACTATAGTAAACCCTGGTGTAAGCGTCCTCTGGGTTTAGCGCACTGTGAGACCTGGTTCTAAAGACCACCTGGCTTTAACGACCGCTTTTGCTTGCGCCGTGGGGTGGTCACTTAAACCAGGTTTTACTGTAGTACTAGTATTGGTTTACTCTACCCTGACTGCACTGCCACTGCAGCACGTAAGTCAGTGCACTTGTGCAGTGATACATTGGCAGTGCACTATTGTAGGCATGTGTATTCCGTGTGATAGTATCGTGGTGGTGGTGGTGGTGGTGGTGGTGGTGGTGTGTGAATCCCTATTTTTCATTCTTGTCTTTTTCGACACACACACCACACCACATACTCCGACATACACACATTTGCCTTGCAAGCTGTTGAATGGTGTAATCCCAGCACAAGTTGTTATGTCTAACATAGCTGTTCGTTATCATCGCTTCCGCGATGGGCATGTGTGTGTGTGTGTGTGTGTGTGTTTTGTCTATTGCTGTGTACACATGGATGGCATGCACATGTCGGCATGGGGGCTTCTTCGCCCCACCTGTCCATGTGACTCAGCTGGAGACGTTTTGACAGAGCTTGTTTTACGTCCTGGATACGGAGCAAGCAACAAGACTCAATATGACACTGTGTCTGTGTTTGTGTTTGTACATGCGTGTTTTCATGCGTTTTGTAGAGACTCGGTTATTGAGCCAATAATAAATGTAGAAAGGAAAAGGATGTTGAAGCTAGGTGTCAGGCTGTCGAATGTCTCACTACTCTGTCAGTTTTGTCCCTAGTTGTTGCACTTTCTGACTGTATATAGTATCTAGTTACAGTGGTGGAGAGTTACTCTTAAATCGTTTCCGTATGTCCTTTTTTTTCTACGTTTTGTAGAGAAGAGCTGGAGAAGCAGTACCAGGGTAAGCTGACTCAGCAGATGAATGGGCCTATTTACGAGGTGCTGAGCCGCGTCATGAAGGCGGTCGCTTCAAAGAAGATCGTCGTGCCTGGCAATTACCGAAGGTAATGATCTTGGCACGCGTTGTCCTGTCTTTTGCGTGTGTTCTTTCCCCCTGTTTGTCAGCCGGCTGTGGTGCAAATTGTACTCAAGTACTACTTGTAGTATGTGTGATCTGCAGCATCTTAACATAGTCTAATATTGTCACAGGGTTCTACTTCTAGCCAGGTCAAAATAGTAGGGGGGGGGGGCATGGGAAGCACTTACGCCGTATCCCATTTTTTCCACTTTCCTATATTGTCTTGCCACGCTAAATGCAACGTATGGGGCGAATCCCCGACTTCACCCGAGACAAATGTGCCTTTATGAACCATCTAGTAGTGACTTTCGACTGCATTTTCTTTGAATTGCATGGAAACACGAAAATCGGAAAATGAGTAGGGGGTCGCTGCGTCCCCTTTTTTTTTCTGCGTCCCTTTCCCCCCCCCCCCCTTTGGCTAGAACCCTGTAAGGAGTTGTACTGGTGCTTGAGATCTGCAGACGTACTGGACGCACCACATACTGTACAGGCAGAACATTTCGTCGGTCAATAATTTCGTCCATCTCCAAAGAAAGGGAATTCGTCCGGTTGTAAATTTCGTCCATGGATAATAAGAGTGTATTGAAAAGCTGGACAAATCGACAATAGTCCGGCATTTAATTTAGTCCAAAAGCTCCTTGGACGAAAAGAAGAAATTAAATACCAGACGAATATTTCTGCTTATTCAGTACATCATGTTGGACGTTTCCGCCCGTTGAGTTGCAGACTACGTGTTGTCATGATAATTGATGTGCTGTCTCGGAGAGTCCATGCTTGAATGGTCAGAATCAAACTGCTCTAATAGATATGTCGGTTTGCGTGTGGGCGTACGTTTGTTTGTGTGTGCATGCGTGTGTGTGTATGTTTGTTTGTTTGTGCATGCGCGTGTGTGTGTGTGTTTGTTTGGTTTGTGTGCGTGTTTGAACGTGTGCAGTCAGCGCGGCGGGCAGTGCATCAGCTGCAGCTACAAGGCCAACCATGGCATGCTATTCCCGCTGGAGAAGGGCTTCATCTTCGTGCACAAGCCCGCGCTGCACGTGCGCTTCGATGAGGTGGTCGCCGTCAATTTCTCGCTCGGCGGCACTGGAACTCATCGGTCGTTTGACTTTGAGTTAGAAGTCAAGAATAACATTGTACACATCTTCCAGAGTATGGACAAGTAAGCTGATGTGTGTGTTACTGATGCTTTTTTCAATTTCTTGTACATACATACAAACATCAGAAAGTTACTTGCTCCCAACACTAGTTGGAGCTCGCACTTTTCCCGCAAACTTTACCTTGCTCGACTGACTCTTGACTGCCGTCCAGAGCACACGAGAACTCATAGAGGAACTCGCGAAATACCATTCACAGAAGAAGTCAGCCATATGACGTCAATTTGCTGATTTGGTGCGAAGTTCAAGGCAGGTGAGTACGTCACCATGGTATTCGCGTGGCTGGGTACAAATTTTACAATTCTATAGCAATTCTTCAACTTTGTTGCAACAAAGGTCAAAATCGTACATAGCATGTCACGTCGCGGACGTTGATCCAAGCTCAACTTCTGCGATGGCCCAGTTGAGGTGCGAGATGGATGCAATTTGGGAATTTCGCTGTTTCGCGGCCGTCGCATCGCGTATCGCATCGCAAAATTGCTTCTGTGAATCCCGCTTTAGTCCTTTGTTTCCCGCTGGAAC